TCCATAGTTATTTTGTTTGGACTCATTTTGTATTTAAAGATGCTTAGCTAATAAGGTTTGTGAGCATAAGAGTTACTAACTTTCCTTATTTTTTCCCCCAACAGGGCCAAGAAAAGCCGATACTTTGAGTATCCACTTCTGGAGAGATACATGCAGTGCAAGCAAAAGTCTTACTTCCTTGTTAGCATGCTTTTTTTGAGAGGTTTCCTTCTTTTGACCTTCATGACCTCTGCCTGCCTCTACCTGGCCTATTTTTACCTTTCTGCCTTATTGCAAGATGAGTTCAGTTGCTTTGTCCGAACAGGTACGCTGCGAGACCACATGTGGATTCCAGAACTTGTTCAATGCAAGATCATTGGGCAGTTGGTTTTCCAAGTCATTAGTGTTGTAAATGCCACCATATACATCCTGCTGGCACCCTTTGTAATCTTTAGTCTCATTCGACTTTTTGTTTGGGACACTACATTTATCTCCGTTTATGGAGTCCTTCCAGCTCTGGATCTTATCAACCGTCAAAGACTTGGATGTCCACTGAATGACCTCAATGTTCTTCTACTTTTTTTGCGTGCTAACATGGCACACTTGAAATCCTATGGCCAAATGAGGGCTTTGTGCTCTCTTGCACCACCACAAGCCAGCAATGCCACAGCAGTACAAGGCTTGAATGCAATGCTGACACCAGAAGAAATGGAGGAGCGTGAAGAGGCATCAATGGAGCTTGCTGAAGAAATTGGAGAAGCCAAAGAGGAAGGGAAGTTTAATTTGGTGGATATCATGACTATTCTGGGAGCAGCACAGGGAAGAGTGCTCAACTGCAGCAAGAAGAAATCTCTCAAAGAAGAAAATATGAGCCTAGGTACCATGACACTCATCTGTCCATCCATTGTCTTTTACCTGCTTCTTTCTTTTTGGGGGTCGTGGGGGCCACTGGTGCCCATGTCCAGCCATCACTGTGCAAGAGGCAGAGTACACCCTAGACAGGTTGCAAATCCGTCACAAGGTCACATATACAAACGAGACAAACTCACTGTCTCACTCACACCTAGGGAGAATTTAGAGTTACCAATTAGCCTAAAACGCATGTTTCACATACTCAAACACAGTGTTCCAGTTATTAGTTTTATTTTCATCTTTTGGGATGTAATGACATTTATTGTCATTTCTAAATTAGGTATACTAGTTTGAAGTACTTGTTTTGTGTGTTTGTGTTATGTGTTTTGGCAGCACAATGGCTTAGTGGTTGGCACTGTTGTCTCACAGCAAGAAGGCCCTGGGTTCAATCCCCAGTTGGACCTGGGGTCTTTCTGTGTGGAGTTTGCATGTTCATCTCATGCTTGCGTGGATTTTCTCTGGGTACTCTGGTTTCCTCCCAGAGCCCAAAAACATGCATGTCAGTCTGCCTTCAGGCCCAGACCTCCCTTGCAAAAGAGATCTGTGATCTCAATGGGATTTGCCTGGTTAATT